TAAATGTGCTTGTACTTTTAATTTTTTCCCAAATTCTGTGTTATTTTCTCCAAAATTCTGTTTTCCATTTTATTTTTTATTAAAAATGGTTTAATTACATTTTAATAGTCAAATCATGGCAAATCAATTGAATTCACAAAACTTATAAACCAGTGACAGGGCCTTATGAAATGTGTTTTTATTTCTGTTATAATTTATGTATTATGATTGAATACAAATGTATTATCTAAAACAGTTAATGAAATGAATGCATTAAAACTTTACCAGTTCAATTCATCTTTTAAAATTTAATCAAATAAAAATGTAACAATTCTTTTTATTTTTTTAGCAAAGTGGTGCACAATAGAGGTTTACTGTTATGTTAAAACTAAAAAGCACAAACAAGTAGTTTGATATTTGTTCAATTAATGTTGAAAATGTTTTAATAAACTATTATTATTTTCCTACTACTATGAGAAGCACATGTACTGTACAAAACAAATACAATTCTGTCTTAAGAACTTTGAGTTTCTGTGCACCTGACAATAGTATTGGGAGACGCTGACAACACCAAAAGCGTCATGCATGTTTGTGTATGTGTAGTAAATAAAACAGCACCACTCATTCACAAAGACAACACGCATATGTAAAAAAAGCAGTCTTATTGAGGGTTAATTGTGCGCGTGCTCCCCCGCGTGTCAACACATGCACAGTTGCACACTAACCTTCCACACCCAGCTCCTCCAGCTCTTTTTTTAGCACAGCCACCTTCGCCTTTACTGATCGGCAGCCGTCTAACAGCTTCTTATAGTTCCGTCTCACACCACAGAGGGCGATGTAGCGCTTCAGCCTGGACACAGCCTTATTCTCTTCATCCTGATGGTGAAAAAAAGGATTAAAATCAGTTATTATTTTGAGTCTCTTAGTAATTTAATCATTGTATCGTTGTTATAACGACGAAGCTGAATTTTCAAGAAAAACTGCTTAATATTTTGTAGAACATGTTATACATTTTTTTTTAGAATTCTTTGATGAATAGAATGTTCTAAAGAACAGCACTCATTTGAAACCGTGAGGACATTTATAATCTTACAAAAGATTTCTGTCACTGCTGCTATTCAGAATAACAGCACTCTTGCTTGTTTGATAGTCCTTAAATAAAACAGACAGTAGTGGAAAAAAACAAGTTGTGTGTTATTATATTTTTTGAGTTCTCAATTCATCTTGCCTTTCCTCTGGTTGCGTTTTCCCTATCCTCACTGCGTTTTTTCTTCGTCGCGCTTTTTTCCTCCTTGTTGCCCTTCTCTCGCTCCTCCTCGTCCTCCAGTGAGGGAAGAGACGAGGAGTCGGAGTCCTCTGCTGATTCCTTCTGACTGTCCTTCAATTTCTCCTCTATAAAGAAAAGAAGACATGAACAAATGCAAGTAGAACGATTTAAACGTGCACCCACTTTGACCACTTTGATTCTCACCATTTTTCTCATTCTCTTTAGATGATAAATCAGCAGCATCGTTTTTTTTATCTGTCTCCTGTTCACTGTCTCCAGTGCTTTCATTTTCAGAGTTGCTCTTGTTTTTTGTTTCAGTGCTCTCGGTTTTCTCCTCCTCGCTTTCAGAGCTGCTCCCAAACACTTCCCTCTCCACTTCTTTCACAATATCCCTCTCGACCGGCTTCTTTATTCTGACATCTTTTCTTTTGCTCTGTGTCTTTGCTTTGCTCTTCACTTTTTCATCCTCAGAATCACTCGCAGACTCACTTTTTGCTGGTTGATCACTGGTTTCCTCATTGTCTGAATCCTCTTTCTTTTTCTTTTCTTTCAATGGTGGTTTTTGCCTGGCCTCCTCCTCCTCATCAGAATCCTTCAACTCCTCATCTTCATCGCTATCCATCATGTTCTCTTTCTTCTTCGTTTTCCTTTTCTTGTCATTGTCCTCTTCTTTTTTGCCCCGTCTCTTATTTTGTGGTTTTCTTTTAATGTTCTTTTTCTCTTGCTCCTCCTCACTTTCTTCACCCGTGTCTTTATCACTTCCAGCTTCTTCCTCTTTTTGCCCTCGCTCGTTCATAGCCTTCTCTATTCCAGAGTCAGGGGAATCTGGAAAAGAGAGATTATAAAGTTACTTACACAACATCCAATGAGGAAATAAAACGAGGACAAACTCCACAAGTACTACACAGATACCTGGAGAAGACTCCTCCAGCCGTGATCTCTTTGTCTTTCCCACCGTTTTATTCTCTTCATCCTCACCATCATCATTGTCATCATCCCCCCTTTTCCTTTTGTTCTGGCTCTTTGACGGATTCACACATTTAATAAGAGGCTCATCATCACTGCTGTCCTGAAAAGATAGATTACCTTTACTAAACCTCAACTTCCAAATGTTACTGACAAATCGCAGTGTTGATGTACACCATATCATCAGACAAGCTTATGTTATTTTCTCTTTTGGGGTGTTTGGAAAGCTCAAAACATTTGGCCAAGCGTTGTGGTTGATACACTTACAATTAGATATTGAAAAGTGCATACTATGGTTCAAACTGTGTCCATCTTCATTCCCAATCCCAAATAAACGTAAAAGCATCTTTAACTGATTTAAGGAATGTAACTGTCAATAAGTTGTGTTTATTATGTGTTTTCACTCAGATTTTAGAAGAGATTATCAAAGTAACGTTGGATTTAAAAAGTTTGCAGATCAGAGGCGGCAACGAGACATTGCGTTAGCTGCCGTGCTCGCTGTTTGGTCAGCTGTGCTAGCATTCAGTCGTGATTCTGACGTAATTGTCGCGCCCATGCATTTTATACTGCCCGCGAACTTGTCAGTATTTGCATCCTTCGCGTCAATATTTTTTTACTTAGGCTAGAGTTAGTGGTTTTGTGATATTGAAATTGGTGACAAGAATAATGAAATTTTGATATCATAAAAAACTCATTTAAACTACAATATGTAAAAAAAATATATATATAATTTTTTTTTTAAATCACTGCTAGGGATCGCTAACTTCTTACAATAACAATGGCGTAGGTTGATGACGCAGTGATAAGAGGAATGATGGAACCTGTTGCCATGCTGATGGATCCAATTATGTTTATGAATAAGTGAAAACATTCTTGTTTTTTAACATGACTGGTATGAAGTAGGGCACGATTGCTAATAAGAGACAGATATCACACACGAGTCCCACAGATATGAAGGAATAAGAACATTTAATCCTACCGAACTACCCGCAAGTGCTAAATTACTCGCACAGCAGGTCAGTTTATTTGATAAATTAAAATTGTGAGGTAACTCAGCACCGTTTCACTTAGTGTATCTATCATACTAAACTGCATTTGAGTGAGTTGAAAGTTATGGTATTCTTTGTTAGTTTGCTTGGCATTTGAGACATTTCATGAGACATTTCAACATTTCATCTTGAGCTATATTGATTTGTTTTATGTTGATTTGGCGTCTCTGTCAAGTCCAAGTTAGTCGCTGCATCTAAAATGTTTTGTAATGTTACAATTCATTCCTGTCCATGAAAAATTAATCTCCGATCAATTTTAACCACTTTATGGGCACTTTTCACAAAAAATTGCCATGCTCAAAGACCTCAACTCTGGAAAAAAAAGTGCAACACTCACTCATGTTAAACATGAGTAGAACATTATTTCTTTAGAAACAATGATTATTTCACAACTCCAATTTGTTCTGGGACTTTCTGTAAAGTGTGTTGGAGTTAAAGTTTAATAATCAATAATCAAAGGGTGGAGCTTAACAATGGGTCGTTTTGAGACAGATGCATGATGGTAAGATCATCAGTCTCTTCCTCACCTCAGTCACCTGCATCTTCAAAAGTTCCTCCTCGACTATTTTCTTCATCAACTGTCTGTCCTTGGTGCTGAGTGACTCTCTACCCACCTTCTCCAGGTATCTCCTCCGCAAAATGCCTAAAGTCAATGTACTTGAATGGTGGAAGAGTAACAGTAAATTAGACATGCAAATGTATTTCTGATGGACCAATACAAATCCGTGCAAAATGTCACATGACATAACACCACATATTTTGTAAACAACAAAACAAAAGCACACGATCACTTAATAGTGGCTTGTCTTAGGACATGATTGGCATTTTTGTGCTGTCTATCTGTCAAACCGCTTCAGCGTACTATTGAACTAACTTACACAGGATTCCCTTCAGGCTTTAACGTAAGCTGCGTCACACATCATTGTAGTGTCCCTTGATCGTGTTTTTTTTTTTTTTTTACACGTTCAAAATAATACGCTTCTTCTGCGCTGTGACCTTCTTCATACAAGAATCCAACATAACCGTCCCTTATATCTTCCTAATCCGTTCCTTTTCCCTTGATATCACTCACTAGCTAGAAGCCGATGCATGCGTGCAACATGTCTCATTTAACGAGTTCATAATTCAGCCCTGACTTCCACATAACATAACGTTCTTTGATATGTAATGATGATAACCATTTTTGACAGCATTTCGCATTTCTTTCAACCCGCAGTTTACCTGAGATCCGTACACTTGTGCAGTTCTCTCACAACGAACTCTCGTATCACGTCCTCTTCTTTGGCCATGTTTTTTTTTTACACATTTGCGCCACTTTTTACACCACTGCGTACTGTGCGAGTGTGCGTACTTAGCGCGACACCTTGGCGCGCTTTGCTGTGCTCGGTTACGTTGCTTTACGTCATCACGCACAGTTTCCGACAGACGCGCTTACGCAGTATTTATAACAACATACGGTCAAAATGTTTCTTGTGTCCGCGTTACGATTCATGAATTCTCTTATAGATACGCTAACTAAAATATTTTAGGTTACAGAATTTATACGTCTTTAAAACTTAAACAGATACTTTTATGATTGATTTAGGGTTTTCTTGTAAATATTTGCATATTTATTATTACCTCTATCTGTTATGAATAGGTCATTTTGACACTCTACTATGATCGACTGTGTTTTTAAGGTGTAATTCTTTGGAATATTTGTTTAAGAAAAAAACAAAATAACTTCAAAACCACAAGGATTTTACCAAAAAGCATTTTTATTGAAAATGTTAATAGAATATTAATTCAATTTGATTAAAATTCCAAGTCAATATTTGGACGGCATTCCACATAACGTTACTAGTTTAATTGGCAGAATGAAGAGGTGTTTTTTGGTCTAGGACAGTGAGTGCATACATGTATGGCTTACATTGGTCAATAAAACATTGTTTTGTGAAGTTGTTTGTAACTTAGTGGAAACTACTGTCATCATGCCATTCGCCATCTTTGTCTAGAAATTATTTGGAATAAAATTATAACATTGTTTAGTGCTGGAAGTATTTCAATCCTACTGATGCGTCTAACCCATTGCTGTGTGTATTCAGTAATATCATGTTAGAAACAGTGATCATTTTCTTTTTAAACAATAACAATATTAGTTTTAGAAATATTGTTTAACATGCCCATGCAAATTGTACGTACCAAATTGTGAGGCACAGTTGTGTAAAATTATTTACTTAAGCTTTCTATTTGTCTTAAAAAAAAAAAATTATGTTTAAAACTGGATCCCTGCTATCAATGGCTGCAACAACAAGCTGCCCAAATTTGGTCAGTTTCCCAGAAGATCTGACAGTCCTATGCAACATGGCGCCCCCATGTACCTCTCATCATTCTTAACACCTCAAGTCAGCGTACATCACAGTTTACTATTAAACACTGAAAGATAAACTTTCACATGGCCCATACAAACAAATCAGAACCTTAAAAAAACACAACTTATGTCACATTGAAAATTCTGGACAATAAATTAAACGAATAATAAATTAACAAAAAATGAAAAAAGATAAAATGTAAATTTATCTCACAGAAAAATAAACAAAACTGTGCCACACTGTGGCAACTTCAGTATTATTTCTAAACTAGCCCCCACCCCTCCCATTTCAGTGCAGTATTAAACATACCAAAGTTGTTTTTCTTTTCTCAACCATTTTTCACATGCATGATTCAGCACATCTGTGTACCATTCTGATTCAGTCTTTGTAGACAGTCTGCTGTCCATGACCCCTTTCATCATGCATAATGTGCCTCCGAACATGGATACGCCTCACCCGCCTATCCCCACCCCCTACCCCCGCCCCTTCCTCCTCCGACTGACCCACACCTGGTGACGAGACGCCCCCTGACTCCAGCAGGGCCATGCCTCCCGAACCTCGCCCATTTTCATAGATCAAAATGTTGAGAGTCTCCTCAAAGATACGAGCTTCTGGAAACTCAACCTATGTGAACAGATGAAAAAAAATTAAGAGAAAAAAAACAAAACAGATATATGCACACAGATAAGGGAGTTTCATTCTCATTGCTCACTTTGGTCTGCTTCTTCTCAGTGGCATAAACAATGGAGGTGCAGCAGACTTCAGCAATCTTGCGCCCCTCGCCATAGAAAGACCAGCAGCATATCTCATCTCCCAACACATCTTTAATAAACAGCACTCTGCCATTGAAGCGTAGCCCCAGCTTATCGAACAGCTCGATGTTCTTCAGAAGGTTATCATCAGAGTTGCTGAGGGAATAAAGGTTCATTTTATATAGAAAAGGGCACCTCTCACTCACATTTAAGAAACTGGCATCAAACTTACATTGTATTCAAGCTATTCATTTTTACAATTCATGCATTCCCAGAAATCGAACCCACGGCCTTGGTTTTGCTAGTGCCATGCTCTACTGTTTGACATACAGGAACGGTTATGCGTTTTAAAATCATTTTGGATTTTTCTTACTGCTTCCTACAGTCACCAGGCATAATTACATGGTGTCATTGAGCTATATAATTTTTCCAAAAAATGAGGTGAGCGTATGACAACAATTATTCATTTAGAATAGGTGACTATAAGTCACATAATCACATTATGGTTCATATGCTTTCTGAAACGAGAAGGTGTTATGCTCAGAGAAAACATTGTTCTTTATGAAATAGCAGAAGGAGTGAGAATGAGGGCTGAATGTACCTGGTATAGGAGTATTTATTGTTCCCTCTGTTATTCTGCAGTTTCACCACAGGCTGCAATGAGGAAAAAATTATTCATGAAACAAAGACCACTTTTTTCCTCCATACTGTACGCAGCAGAAGGGTTTCATTTGGATCCTTAAAGGCCAGAATACACAACACCAGGAGTAAGAAAACATTTTTTTGAATTACTGAAAGTTTTCTGAAATGTTATGCTTAAATATAGAAAATTATGCATTTTCCAATTCAATAATGCTCTAATTTGCATACATTTCCAGAAAAGAAATGTGAACATTGGATAAAGCCAGGTTCAAAATTATTATTTTATTTATTTATTTATTTTGCCACATAAGAGTTAAAGGTTTTTATAGTGGGGATTTTGGCTTTCTTTTTTATCACTCTATAAATTAGAAAGTACTGTCAACAGTCAGAATAAAAATCAGCATGTTTTTAGGAATAAAATCATGTATAAATCAGGCAAATGATATATGAACAAACCCCTATGTCTTTCAAGTCCGTCTGACTGCCCATAATCTGCAGACTGGCTCAGACTTTTAGCAACAAGCATCGACTCAAAAGCATTATAGTGTATTCCAGCCCTAAGAGATCACATTTTTCATGTGTTGTTTTTTTGTCAGAGGAGAAGTAAATCTCACCTTCCTACAGGTGGCTATCATTTTCTGTTCCTCTTTGGCTGAAGTGATCATAGGAATGTGACAACCCCTGCAGACATCCCTGCGTTTCTGCATCAACAACAAAAAAGCCATAGTAAGTGTCAGCTGTCAAACACCTTCCTTGGCTCAAAGAAGCATTTCAATGCAGACATATGCTTCTTTGAGCCAACACTAAAGGGACAAACACAAGCCCCGTGGATCCTCGAACCTGTAATGTGGTGAGGCAGTGCTGTACAAGACCCTGGAGCCTGTAGTATTGCGCCTCTTTCAACACTTCCTCCAGCTCCCGTGTGCTCTCCGGCAAAGGAACTGTCCCGTCCCGCAGGAAGTTCAGTACCAGGGAAAAGTGTCTCCCACATCTGTCTAACACCACCCAGCCTTAAAAGATGAATGAACACACATTATATATACATCTGTTCTAGCAACTTTTTTAAAGAAATAAAGTGACAGTAAAGACGGTTGGTGAGCATAAAGGCCCGTTCACACCAAGAGCGATAACTATAAAGATGTAGTTCTAAAAAAAATGTTTTAAAAATAGTAGAATCCCCACCACAACTATAACAATAATTTAAGAATGATTAACTTTAAGAATGATTTTGTCCAGCTGATTGACAGCCTATCAGAATCCATTCTCCTTTAAGAGCTCGAGTCAACTAAACCGCAGCACGTACTTAAAATAGACAGAACAATATCATCCACTTGTGTGTGCATATAGTTATAGGTATCGTTCTTGGTTAAGATACTTCTTTCAAAATCACACAAAAACTCAAAAACACACTGCTTTTTCTTACCCTCAGAGTCAATGGAGACCTCAGTGCTCCCATCACAAATACTTCTGAGCAGACTGTCCTCCTTGCTGAGTGTCTGGACGGTGGTGTAGTGAAGAGTTCCCCCAACATTGAGCTTCACGTACTTACTCCCTGCCAGGCTCCTGTCAGCCTTTCCTTCCCCAACATGGCTGGAGAACGATGGGGCAGAACCGGACACAGTCACCACATTCCCACCAGACGAACCAGATGCCTCAGCAGACATCAGGGGAGTAGAAATCAAATACTGCTTATTTATTGCCTAAAAGTATAAAGAATACAAATCCAAAGCAGACAGAATTTCAAACTTGAATACTTCATAATTGCTTTATTCATCCAAGCCTGGAGGATTTTCTTACATCTATGGAACAAACAAGGAGAGTTTCTAAAGGATATTCTCGTTTCTGTTCATTTAAGGAAAAGGAAAATATAAGGAAAATGTGCCATTGGAGGGCACATTTTTCAGTGAATAGACTCTGTTCATATGATTTCAAAATGATCATGTGGCGTCAAAGGAATACAGCACACAAGTGGATATGGATCCTTTAATAATGGTTTTTAACATTTCGAAGCTTGACGGCCTAAGCCCTTCTAAATATAAAATGAATAAATGTTATTTAATTAAAGAGTAAATGAGTTACAATATCGTTTTTTTTTATCTATTTGTCAAAAATAGATAAACAATCTCTGGTGAGATGTACAAAAGACAAACAACTTTATGATAGCTAAATAAACCATATTCAAATATATGCATAAACACGGTGACATCATAACATTAAGTGTGCACACCTCATGATATGACAACAACCACTGAAACTATCTCAGAGCACATATAACAAAAACATACAGAAAGCAGCAGAAACATAATATCTGATACACAAAGCAATGCATTTATCATCTGCCAAAGAGCATCTGCTAATCGATCTCACTGGTCTAAAAACAAAAAGATAAGTGCATAACACCCGTTTAGCAATAGTCTGGAGGGTTGTTATTGTGAATATCTGTCCACTCCACTGGGGAGGCCACAGATGTGTTTCTGTACTGATATCAGAGGAAATGTACAGAATTAGGTCAACACATTGAGAAAGATCTTAACTCCAGCTGAGAGATCTCGCTAATCCTCGTCTAGACCACCCCAGATTTGTTTCCCCTCCATTCACTAGTCATTTACAACTTGACAACTGAAAGTTAAAAGCAAACACATGTACAGAATCTAGTAAGCATGATGTATGTGTCTTATTGATAAGCTTATTAGCTCTTGAGCTAGCTCTTGAACGAGCTGTCAACAAGCAAAACACTTACCGAGCTGGGTCCCCGCGATAAGGTGCACAAAATATAAAGTAATCGCTACGGACTGTTACATCTATAACAATAAACCTGAAATGTTTTTACAACAAATCATAATTTCCTCTGTTGTCTCGCAGCACGACTGTCCTCTTCCTCTTTCTAGCTTGTTGTGGGTTGACAATGGCTGCTGCTGCTCACCCTCGCGAGGAGTGTCTTTCGTTGACTGATTGGTCCAAATCAACGTCTGTCAGGGGAGTTAGCCCCGCCCCCTGCAACGGCCTACAGCGGAGCTGTTTGAATTGGGGTTATTTCTTTTATTAGGTCAATGTTTTCTTCTGTAACAGGACATTCTTTCAAGTTTTAAATCTTTAAGTCTTAAAAACGTGGATTATGTAAATGAGTCTAATTTGTGTAATACTCAATCTCTGTACGGTGAAGGGTATGTGATGATGTGGGGCTGGCCACGGGAACTTTATCAGGATGCATAGTATGCTGGATCCATGAAATAACTGGCCTTTAAAAATAAAAATCTGCCTTCCTCTATGTGAATTTTGCATAGGGGTGTCCTGACTTATGTCCCCTGTATTTGGAAGAACATTTATTTATTTACGATACATTATTCATTCACAAAGAAAATTGCTGTCCATCAAGGTTGGATTTTTCCTCATTTTTTTAAAATTAAGGCATTAAGATCAATTTCCAAAAGATTATGCTAAGCACTATATATATATATATATATATATATATATATATATACATGGGGAACATGGAATATATACAGACACAAAGTACTCATATTTCTTGCTATTAACAAATTTATTGATTATATATCAAGAAATGATAAATATAGTATAAATAAATTATATATAATATGTATATTTCTTACTTTAATATATAATAAAAACTATTTCTTATAGCAAGAAATATGTATTAGTATTATTAATCATAAAGATTCATTTATAAAAGACATGTTCACCATCCAACAGAGACTTTTATTTAATCTTAAATCTCAGCAAATTAATGTCTTCATGACAAGTATAATATGTTGATAAATAAATAACAATCAAGTAATACTATAATGCAACAAAGCCCTCCACAACATGGGCTCTGGTAATGGCACAGTGGAAAAGACGAAACTCACTGCATATTAACAACAAACCATGAGATAAATAATAAATAAAAAAATGCAATTTATAAAAAGCATTTCAATTCGATTACTGCATCACAGCAAGCAGTTTTTTTCTGTATATATTTTCCTCAACATAGTGCATATGCAACAACATCAACTCTGATAACAATGACAGTAAGTATAATTGATCATGAATCCTAAGCTGAAGCGGTAAAATATACAATCGTTGCGTGCCGTAAGCGAGAGGACATTCCGCTCCTCTGAAACATGGTCATTCAACATCAAGCAGAAATAGATTTTTAAGAAACAGTAAAGAACAATATGAAATGCTGGCATTGTCCTCATTTGTACATAATAATGTGAGAAATACTATGGCAACCAGTGAAATGTAAAGTGACGTCACATTTTGGGATGTATTTTGGCACGGAATCTGTTTTGTATACTCAATATTCAATCAAAATATTTACATTCAATATTTTCTTCTTATCATGTGCATGTATATGAATGTGTGGCCATGTATCTGTATACAAACATGAGAGTATAGTTTTTGTATTTTGGATTATATAGGTATATGTACTTATCTTTGTCTCACTTGTGTCAAAGTCTCTCTCATTCTTTCTCTACCCATCTCACTTTCTATTTCTCTTTCAATCCTTCACCACTTTACAGTCCTTAAGGCACCAAACCTTCTGTTACAAAACATGCCTGACTGTAGAAATCATACTTACAATATGTACTTACAGCAATTGTGTTGTTACCTTCTCTACTTCAGTACTTTGATGCCAATAAACATACACACATATGTAAACAAGCTAACATACAGAGCACACACACACTTGTTCAGCACATACATCAGTGAAACGGCAAAGAGAGAGGAGAGAGAGACTGTGAAAAGTGAGATTTATGTGTTGTAATTAATGGAATAAAACAAATAATTGTCTGGCGGAGAGAGAGAGAGAAAAATAACAGTATCCTTCCTTTTCTTCTCCTTTTCAATTTGGATTCATTTGAAGACTCGTCTCAGATGGACACCTCATACTCTCGCGTGTCCTACAGTGAGAGAGAGGAAAAAACAAATACACTTTACCAGCATATATAATATAATATAATATAATATAATATAATATAATATAATATAATATAATATAATATATAATGGTGGTATTTATCCACATTTTTTCAAATTAGGATTTATGAATGAACTCATTAAGAACTCATTAACCAATATATTGACACTAAATACAACAACAACAAAATAAAACGTCCTAATTTATAACTGAAACTAAAACAGCAACATCTACAAAAGCTTATAAAATTTGGGGGTCAGTAAGATTTTTATTTTTATTTTTAAGAAATGAATATTTGTATCCAACAAGGATGCATTAAATAGATTAAAAGTGACAGTAAAGACATTCATAATGTTACAAAAGATTTCTATTTCAATAAATACTGTCCTTGAAATTTCTATTCATCAAAGAATCCTGAGAAAAAAATGTACCATGGTTTCCACAAAAATATTAACCAGCACAACTGTTTTCAACATTAATAATTATAAGAAATGTTTCTTGAGTACCAAATCATCTGAAAATTCAGGTTTGGCATCAAATCAATAAATTACATTTGAATTTTTGTTTAATAGTTAACTACATCTATAAAAATAGAAAAAAATTTAATAATATTTCACAAAACTTGACTGATCAAAATAAGATACTTACAATACATGTTCTTCACATAAAATATGATAGAGAATGCTGTGCTGTGACTTCTGCTCAGAGACTCAAATGAATCAGTGAGTCATTTAAATTATACCGACCAAACCGATTGTCTACTACAATGAACTTTAGGCTTCCCAAGATTAGATACATGTGATCAAACATAGCAAACACACTGCAATTCCTTAAAGCTACACTGTGTGATTTTTACCCCCATCTAGCAGTGAAAAGGTATATGACCATCCAGGGAATATTAGTTTCTGTTCCTCTCAATTCCGATTTCGTTTTAACTCCTACGGTGGCCAGTGTAGTCCAAGATTAACATGGCTTCCAGTTCGACCTCGTCCATGAGTGTTAACTCAAACGTAAACGCGAAAGACGAAGCTTGAATTAACGGGTATGTCCCTCTTTGGCTAATGTACTTTCAAGATGGAGGGGCAACATGGCAACCGACATTAAAACCCCTTACCCGTATGTATTTTCAAATGCATATTATACTCTCACGAGAATATTTTATTACTTGAACGAAGTAAATATACATTAATGAGCACATATATTTTTGAAAGAACCAAGTGTTTTTAACTAAGAATAAACTAAAAGACTTACACAGTGTAGCTTTTTTAAGGGAATATGCATGAACATGCATTGGATTTGGTATTCAATTGTACACCCTAACAGTTAACAAGTACAAATTCCACTTGGTTGTGAGCATCTTACCCCTGCCTCATAGAGAGGGTTGTTAAAGTCAGACTCCACTGTAATGGGGCTGTAGGAGTGGGTGTGAGATAGAGACTTCCAGAACATCGGTTTCCACTGCCACCTACACACACTGAGACAGCGAGAGGTGTTAGCACAGAAGAGATAAATAAGAAAGCAGCTGTGAAGCTTTTGACAATATTCAGTGAAAATAACTGAATTTTAAAGCCAAAATAGCACTTACATGCCATTTTTCTTGGGTAACGTGAGTTATTTAAGATTGAATTGGATAAGGAAATCATGAAAAGTGGCTGTTTTATGCCAGAAAAAAATCCATACCTTTCTTTTATTTACTTATTTATTTAGCAATTTCCAGCCAACACTTCATGAAAGATTGCAGAGAAAATGCTCAATAATAAATAATAAATGTATGAATCAAAACATGTTCAAACGAACGTTCAAAGCAAAAGCATTTAAAAACTCAAGCCTCCTAAACTTACTTGGTGTAGTACATGTATATTCCACCGATTAGAAGGATGACCAGAATAATTGGCAGGATGATAGCCAATGCAATGTTCTCACTCAGCATTTGATGAGACGCCTCTAAAGACTGAGAAACTGAAAAGAGGAAAGTTGATAGCATGGACATCATTACATGACAAAGTGGGCCAGATTAGCAAAGCAATATGAATATCACTGATACAATGATAATAAAAGTTACCCTCTAATTTATGATCGTCCAGTAGCCCTTCATAGGCCACTAAAAAAAAATAAAACGTGACTTTAATTTCTTCAGATAAAAATGGTGACTCAATGTATTGGACTAGATCACATTCGCATACCTTTACAGAAGGGTGGTGGGCTATTCCACTGTGAGGGGTGTCCTGGGACACAGTTGATGATGACTTCCCCAATGAGCTCATAGCCCTCATAGCAGAAGAAACGTAGCGTCTCACCTGCCTGGTAACTGTGCTTGTACAGTGTCTGGTAGCCATTGTCCGGCACACCCGGGTTTGGGCATGGGTCATATTTTACTGATTAGCAGAAAAATAGCAGGCAGTATTTTTGATTGATGGTTTATCGGTTTGTACAATCTTCATTGTACTTGGGCTGAGATATCAAAAGTTTGGGGTCGGTACGTTTTTGTTAAAGGTGTCATGCCATCAGAAATTAAATTTGCCTTGATCTTTTGACACAAAAGAAGTCTTGGTACCATTTTCGAGCTTATAACTTCCTCCTTGTTATAAACAAAGCATTTATTTAATCAATCTCCGAAAACAGCTCTTTTGGATAATGGGTGACGTCACACGGACAAATGCATTAGCATATGCCTGCCTTTATAGCAAGACGTCAACAAACAGTTTTACATCATCGCACCAAAGGTCAAAAGCAAACATCACGTCAAAACCCATTATAATCACTGACGCTGTCTACGCTGGATACAGTTATACAGATGCCTATACTCCACGAGCTCAAGTCTGTTGAAAAGAGGATAAATAGAAGCGTAAAGGAATGTTGGCTTTGATGCGTCCTGTTTAAACAGCTTATTTGTGTCTCTGTACAGACTTCAGAAGAGAATTTCTCAGAGAGAAGTGGATGGTTTATTTTTAATGGTTATTTTTTTATCGTGTTGGAGGATAATATGTTTGT